GGTCTGCATGAAATATATTCATATGTGTTATTGACCAAGCGTGAGGTCAAGAGTTCTTTTGTTGCGTTTTTATGGACCGAGACGAAGTCGAGGTCCGTAACAACGCAGAAAAACCAAATGTCAAAGGACCAAATGTTATTACATTTAGGACTTTATTACATTTAGGAAAGTCATTACATTGAGGCCTTCAAGAGACCACTCTCATTCGGAATATCAGACTACACGATTGAACATTAAGAGAGATCTGAATGCCACATATCTTAACCAAAACTATTACTCGATCTTAGCCTAAAAGACAAGTTTATGGAGCTAAAGGGTGACTTGGAGGACACCCGTTCGGCAATAAGGGCAAAGGAAGAGAAAAACCAGTTGACGAAAGAAGTAAGTTTAATTACTCCCATGTTACTCAGATCTCTATCCTTTTTCTGATCATGATTCGAAGCTACAGGACTAGCTATGATAGACTTTCTCCATTCCCTATCACTATGTGCATTGCGTTTCTTTTTCTTTTTATTCATTTGGCACAGGTACTTCTGGAAAAGATGCAGACAATTCTCAAAGAGTAAGACATTACTTTTAATAATATAATAATAATATGACGGCACAAAGGGCAAGTTAAGGAGATGAAAAGGTTAGATATTTGTAGATACAACTATATGCCTTAAAAAAAAAAAAAAGGCGTGATTTAAATTTGTGCCTTAAAAAAATACATTAAACCTTTTCATAGAAAATATGCTCCACGCTAATGGATAAATGGTAACTCCTCTTTTCTCGAGGAAGGGGACTTAACTCTGTAACAAAATATATGTATCTACCGGTATCCGCGGTCGTTTTGTACCCAAACTCAGTCGATTCTCTCCCAGTTTAAGTCGGTTCGTACTGGTGGATTTGTACCCAAACCGCTGATCGATTCTTATCCTTTCCGGTTTATTCATGATAACTCACGTGAACAGTTGAAATCCCCCGACAGAAACAAACGCATATAGAGCCGATGAGTGAAACGGTAAGGCAGTTTTTTTTTCAGCCATGAAAGAAATGGCTTCGACAAAACCTCCTCCGCAGACACAAATATGAGCTGATATTTGCTGCACACTACATTTTCTAAACGAAAATCCTTGAGTGTAGCTGCCGTTAATCTATTTGACAGTTTTCCTTCTATTTTATCGTAAACGAAACTTGGAAACAACAAACGACTGCACTCGAAGGTTACCCGCCATAATTTGGTTTGATACAAACCGGCATACTCTGGTGAAACGGTGTGGCTGTTTTTTTTTTTGTTTTTTCATCTAAAAATGGTTTCACCAAAACGTTTTCTGCTGACGCAAATACGAGTGGATATTTTCCACACTCTATATCATCCAAATGACAATCCGTGAGCGTAGTTACCGTTAATCTGATCGAAGATGTTCATTCCATTTAATCATTACCAGTACGTTAAGGCGGACAAACGACAACTACGCTCGCAGCTTTCCCGTCATTATTTCTTTCATAACAACCAACAATTGAAATATGAGGCTTTCCTAAAAGCCAGTTGGTAACACGCCCAATAGATCTCCTCCAAAAGCAGTGTAGAAGTTGCTTCTTTTTGTTCCGATCTTAATGCGCGAGGCAAATTAAATCCTGAAGGATTCTTAAGTGCTTTCCCTAAGGCGGAATTGAAACTAACAACTTCATCATTTACAGAGTTTGCCATCTTTCGATTTCCCCGAAAGAACAAAATGTCCAAATGACACACTTGCCTTAATTTTAACCGTCGACCGCCCCCTTAGGACAAATTTCTTTCTCTCCCCAGCCTTCCGCTGCCATTAAAATCTAAGATGGCGGCCATAATTTTCGTTAAGAAAATACTGAGCACTCGCTCGCCAAAATTACGCCTGCTCTGCAGGCTATGTCTATAATTGTGACTTTCTTAACAGTAAAAGCTCGTGTAAGTGTGTTTTTTACCCTTAGTTCTCAACAGTAATACATTCTTTTATTCTAACAAAGAGAAACAAACAAAATTAGTATGAGCAGATAAAATGATAACAATTTCGATCCATTTTCGAAAGGAGTCTACTAACAAAAGGCCTACATTTTTACTTCATCATTCGTTCATTTGAACACTACAAACCACCAATCCAAAGTTATCAGTCAAGGAAAACTGTGGCCATCCAATATTACCACGTTAACAAATTTTATTTAACCCTGTAATATTTTAATTTACGACAATAAAACGACCTTGCTTTAAACATACTTAGCATGGAAAAAATATTTTGTTGGTCTGGGTACGAAACGACTTACCTAGCTGGATGAGAAACGACCGAGAGGGGAACCAAATGACTGGGTACGAAACGATCGTCGGTACGAGACGACTGTGGGTACAAAACCGCCTGGGAACTCATGTATACATCCATTTTTCCTCAAACACAGAATTACAGCCTTGGAAAATGATATCCTACTGTTTATGGATAAACTGGATAATTTCTGTGATAGCTGCCCAACGGTATGATGACCCTTTTTCAGTTTAAAAGAAAACTGTTTGTAGTACAGTTAACGCCCAATCTAAATGTTTTAGTCGCATAGGCTCTTTCAACCACGAGATTCAGGTTAAGCGAGAAAAGATTACGCAGTATTTCAATTTCATAATTTGATTACAACCTACGTGGAATCCGTTGTTTTGGGAGGCTTATTTTTTTTGACGAATCAGAACGTCTAACGAACTATACACAATAATTATTAATTGCCTTATGACAAAATCTGTAAATTCTGTTGGCATATTCCCGAGGTCGTGTTTCCTTGCTTGGGTTGTGACTCAATGCGCTCTTCGAGCAAAAACTTGGTTACTCCATCGAAGTGCAGTCATTTCATTAATTTACCAAGAAGGTTGACAAGCACTTAGATACCCTTACGATCAAGTTAAACTTTATTTTGCTTTGTCCATTCACAGGACCGTTGCCAATTTATTTCAGGTCGAAATAGCAACCGGTGAGTGGTATCACAATTATACTACAATGATTTATGTAACACTAAACGCTTTCTTCATACCAATTGCACTGTATCCTTAGGATGAAATTTCCACTTATTGGACTTTCGTCGAACTTTCATCCCACGAATGAAATCTAAAAACCTTTACTTTCAACATGAGAAAGAATTCAAGTTAGTACTTTATCCCAATTCAAGCAAGGAAAATGTTCCTTAACGACTTGCCCCAAGGGAAACAATTTTGATTAAAATTTCGTTCCCCGAAAAACTCCAAACATTTTTAAAATCGTATCATTTCAGACTTAATTATTGAATACCGAGTCGTGATATTTTGTTCCTTGAAACAGGCGTTATTGACCGCGAGGCATTATACAAGTGGAAAAGACTATCTTGGTGCTCTTGGATGAATAAAGCAAATGGTAAACAAGTTGATGAAAATACTTATAATTAGAAGAAAGTGATGGCCCCTAAATTCAGTTACATAGAGCCACTATTTATCCGTCTAGACAAATCTAGTTACCAAACAACACTCTTTTGACGTAATAAACCCTGACAGGAGGTTAAAACTCTCGTTTTGAATCGACTAAAGGCTGAAATAGAAATTATGAGAGGCTGTTTGCTCATGACATTTTCATTTGTCTTACTTTATATATTTCTCAACAGATATCTTTGGATCTGATGGCGCTTTTGCTTCTTAGCTGTGTGCAACGTTTTTGCTTCATGATCATCTTAATAAGAAATAAAATAAATTTGGAGCTTATTGCTGCTTCTAATTTCTTAATGCTTTCTACCATTACCTGAGATGCAAAAGTAACAATTACCTTTCGGGGGAATCTGCTTAGAAAATTTACTAAAAGCAAAGAGTTGAACCTACGACCTTCCAACGTTTAGTTATTTACCAAATAACTTTATTAAGTATTTAAGAGGAGATTAGATTATTGTCGAGTGGGAATCCAATAAGTGTATGCCTTCCAGGGAGTCCCGCAGCAATAAGAGTAAGCCATCAAAACCGGAATTTAGTGCATTGGTCGCGGTTTTGTTATGGCATCGCTCAATATAAAAAGTTTACCCGCCCATATTGACGACCGTAAGATATTTATGAGAGGTTCAAAAATCCATATATTGTGTGTATACAAGCGTGATAGTACATCAGTGATTCAGAAATATATCTACCGGGATTTGACGTCGTTAGAAGGGAACGTGCCGTGAACGGGAGATCTGGTGGCGGTGTATGTATTTATTTACCAAACAACATAAATTACCATGTCCGAGAAGACTCCAGTGATGATCAACTGGAATGTCTTGTTATCGAAATCACCGCACCGCATTCTAGACCTTTTTTTAATAAATACATAATGTAGACCGCCAAGTTCCCAAAAATAAACTTTTAATCAATTTGAAAACCTGGTAGATAAAATTGATTCGGAACGCAAGGATTTATTCCTACTTACTCGGAGACCTGAATTGTGACATGTTGTAAATAGATAGATTCGGACGCTACTGTTTTTACTGAAGATTTTTCATCGAGTTTAAATAAAGATACAAAGCTTAGGCATCAGATATCGACATCCCTATACTTAAAGTATGCAGGAAGTTTGTCACCATGAACCTATTTCAACAACCATTTTCAAAGAGTTCTGGAGAAACCAGGGAACATTTCAATGACAAAGAGTTGCAACGTTTTCAATTCATTCCACACCGCCACACACGTAATGAATTACACCTAAATCGAAGAGATCTATGATTGATTCGAGGTCTGTGTTTCAAATTCGCTGCATGTGTATCAGTGTTCGATTAATTTCCCTCACGATATTACAAATACTCGTCAAGGTATAATTGCACCTAATTATATCTTAAACAAAAAGAATTGCAAGGGGAAGTGTGCGTGCATGTGGAATCTAGCAATCGATTTTTTTCATCCCCAATAACCTTTTGCAAAGCTTATTTAAAAACCATCCGTTGGTCTCAGCTTTGTTGCCCAATGATTTTAAACATAGCAAATCGAATTTAACAAGTTGTCTTATTTAATGCGGGCGATCCTTTCGGCCAAAAAGTGTGTAGCTAACAGGCGTAAGAACTGAGCGTGATGGTGTCCTGCACTGTGCTCCGTTGTTTTTGCCTTACCCTTATGTTTGTTCTTGTTGCGCTTGCTTCAAATGGGTAAGAATCTTCCTTTCTGTCCCTCAAAATTCAAGTTATTAGATTTACACACTGGATTTCCACTTAATTATTTCACCGAGAATTGTATGTTCTCTTTTCCTAACCAGGTGCAAATTTCCCAGTGAACTGGAGAATGAACAAAAGAGGTGAACTGAAAGAATATCACAGATTTCTAGTCTATATGAAATAAATCTAAGCTTATATAGATAACACGCGAATCCAAGGTGGATGACGCCCGCAGCCGCTCATTCTTCCATAAATTATCGTTTGAAAGAACTTCATCTTTTATCGTCTGAAAGATCCGCTTATTTTCCTAAAGGAAATAATTGCCAGAAAATGTATATAATAGATGGTGGATACAGCCAGTTTTGGCTTTTTGCTTTAATTTTTCTCTTCCCTTGAGCTAAAATATTTTTCTCCGCCAGGATTCAAGGAAAGGAGAGCGTAAATTTGGCCTGCGAGTTTCAGATTTCAATCATTTTCCTTTATAATGTAGGATCGAAACTAATTAAAAGAACGTCATTAGAGAAAACAGTTATCTTAAATTGCAACAAAATTGAGCTTTGGTCGCCTAAAAGATAGTTCAGTTTTTTCTCCATCAAACACTAAAAACTGAATAAAAAAGGTTTATTTGCAAAGAAAGTGGTTACTTAAAGGGAGAATAAGGTGAAGGGTTTGGCTCTGATGATGACTTTCACTAAGGTTGTCGAAGGATCAGTCACTCCCTTCGAAAACAGTGTCTCTCAAGATTGATCTCACCCGGACGATAAGGCAGGACGTTCCAGCTTTAAGAGAACGTTGACTGCACCATAATCATAATTTAACCAAAATTGTTCATCGATCTTAGCCTGAAAAGCAAGTTTAAGGAGCTTAAGGATAACTTGACGAACACCCGCTCAGCAATAAAGGCAAAGGAAAAGGAAAATCTGTTGACCAAAAAGGTTAGTACAACTTCTACCCTATCGATAAACTTTGGCTGCTCAGATCATAAAGCAACAGGCCCAACTGTTATAGAGCTTCTCTATCCTCTGCTTGTTAATTATGTCTGTTAAGTTGTTATTGTTGTTGGTTTTTTTCCTTTTTTGGTTTTCAATTTTTTGACGATACAGATACTACTGGAAAAGATGCAGGCAATCACCACCAAGTAAGACATTGTTTTCATTTATGTTATTTGCGATGGATTCTTTATCTCTGAATTGGTGAGATCTTCGAGGAACAGTTTGCACATCGTGAGAACAAATTACGAAGATTAAGAGGGAAAACAATTTGCAGATATGCTTTGCTAAGGTCTGGTTCGAATTCACGCCTTTATGACTGACTGTTGATTGAGACAAACTTTTTAACGCCGTAGACATAGTGGGTAAGTTGTAACGCTTCTTTTTCAAGGGAGGGGAGTTAGTCTAAAAGTAAAATGTATGCATCCACCTGAAGTGACTTTCCTTTCTACCAAACACAGCATTGTGGCCTTGGAAAATGATACTCAAGATTTCATGGACAAACTGGAAAATTTCTGTGATGTCTGCCCAAAAGTATGTGATGTTTTAGAGGCCAATTTTTTAGCGAGTCGGGAAGGCCAACAAACGAGAAACACTGTTGAATAGTCTTTTTTGCATATCCCTGTGATCGCTCTGCCATGCTTCATTGCGCTCCTGGGTCAAAAATTTTGTGGCTCCATCAAAACGCGTCCATTTTATGGTTCGGTGCTTGACCCAATTACCCAGCTTTTCTGGTCAAGATTATTAACGAGCTCAACCTTGATTTAGATACCGCCAAGATCAATATCAAGGTTTACTTTATACAAGAAAGTGTATTTTGTTTTTCGCTCGCACTGATTATGTAGTTCGCAAGTGATTGACAAGTTCTATTTATCTCGAGGCAGCTGAAGAGACAAAATTGCGTGTGAATAATTTGACTCCCGACCATTTTTTGGTGTAATGACAGAAATAAACTAACTTTTTGTTTCTGTGTGGTATGTTATAAACTTCAGTGGCGAGGTAAATATCCACAACTTTCACCGACACTTAAGTGAAAGTTGTGGATATTTACCTCGCCAATTTGCGTCCCGGTTAATATCCACTACTATTCACTCCCAGTTCACAGAACAAGTAATAATTTTTTCCTTGCCCATTTACAGGATCGTTGCCAGTCCATTTTGAATCGGAATAATAACCGGTAAGCGGAATCCCACTGTTTAGCACCAGAAAAGTACCATAATTATGCCGGATTCAGGCTAGTTGCAAACCATCTTTTGGTTTTAATTTCTTTGTAGTAGGCTATAATACCAAAAAAAATATTCCTCGACTGAGGTAGCTAGCAGAATAGTGCACGAGAGATTTTGATGTCGCTTCAAAACCGGTCTTAAGAAAAACAGTTAATTCTGGTAATTATTGCTTTGGGAAAAACAAAAAAAAAAAAGAAGAGCGGAATAAAGGTTGGCAAGTGTTTACCAAGGAATAATGCCCATTGCCTCACAGACGATAGCGGCCGAGCCAAACATCTACTGATATGTTTTAGGGAAAACGTTTGGTTGTTACGTGTAAACTGGGAAGTACTAAAATCAGATGCGACTTGAAACCGAAAACAGCCACTTATTTAGTAAGATAATAATGATGCTTTTGCAAAATTCCAACAGCCTGGAGCGAATGAAGAAATTTGGAGATATGATTAAGGAGCGATACGACAAAATAGACGCCGAGGAGTCTGGTCAGGTATGCTAGTGAAAAGCACCAAACAATACGAAAAAATACTACATATATGTTTTGTAAAGTAACACCGGTAAGGAGCTTTAATTAGTATAAGAAGTAATAACAGAACAACAACAACAGTAATGACATTAAAAATAATGATACTAATAATAATAATTCTTAATAAAGAAACCACAACTATGTTTTGTAAAGTAACACCGGTAAGGAGCTTTAATTAGTATAAGAAGTAATAACAGAACAACAACAACAGTAATGACATTAAAAATAATGATACTAATAATAATAACAATTATCTAAAGGCGCGCTACTTTCTACGATTGGTAACTGATTTTGATTAAACGCTACAAAATACAAGAAATTGGAATTTTAACAACTCTCTAGCACTGATTCAGACTCCGTATTTAATATATTTTGTTTCATTTTCCAATGATTTCTGTTTATGATGATGACTGATGATTGAATGTAAGAGAGTCGTGTTATTTCGTTTTCGTAACAGGTGGGATGGATCCAACATCATTATCCAGGCGGTAATTACTACCTCCTCGCCCTTGGCTAAATGAAGAAAAAGGGGCACTGACAAGGGTAAGCAAGTTATCAACAATGTTTTTAGAAACAAGAATAAAAAGCATTGGACGATGTCCCTCACAACAAACGTTTTCGAAGAAAATAAGCAACACCTTTTACATTAGAAGTCCGTAGTAAAATCCACACATTTCCAGTTAACAAGGAATCTCTGTAACTTTGTTAAACCTGAATTGACGGAATGGTTGTTCGCCTACTGTGCTTTAATCTATTTTGCTCCTTGTATTTTTCAACAGACATCTTTGGAATTGATGTCACCTTTGCCACTTAGCTGTCAGCTAAGTTTTATGTTGTATGGTCATTACAAATAAAGTGCATGAATTCAGATCTTATCTGCTGCTGAGTTAATCACTATATCATTTCTTTATGCTTTCCACTATCCCTCGAAATCCAAAAAACGAACAAGTACCATGGCTTAGCAACTTTCTCCCCCAGAGGCGTTGAGCGTTAGTAGCTGAAAATAGTCAGAAAAACTATGCATTCTCCTGTCGGCTTAGTCAGTAACAGTTTTACAGGTAGGGTGGAAATTTAAGAGCACCAATATTCTTAAAAGAATAACTTTCAGCCTCCAAGCAAAGTGGAAAGATAACTATCAGTTGTACCATTACGAACTGTTCCCTAGACTAACTTATACGTTTTCAAGCAGAGTTTTCAATGTTATTATGTTATGACGTCTAAAACCGGTTTTTAGAAATAGAGTCAAAACCCTGCTAACGGCCACCTCTTTCCGACGGCCATTTTTCCTCTCGACTATTGTATAAAAGAAAAGTCTCAAGATACTTCAAAAAACGTCAAACGCTCATTCAAAGTTTTCAATGAGAAAATTATTGCACGCCTATGGAGAGTCTAAATAAACAAAAATTTATGAGAATGAGACATCCTCATGCACCGATACTTGTAACCCTAAGCAACAACCATATTTTAGAAATAATTCGCGTGTTGTGAAGTAAAAGGAGAAAGAGAGAAGGACATTTCATCAAGAGCAGATAACACGATCAAACATTTATCGTGCTTGTAATCTCTTCCTCTGGTGCAGCTGCTCACGCCCACAATGTGTAGTTCTAAGTTCCAAAGCTGAATTGAAGGTATTTTATGTCGCATCCAGATTTCGATAAGGAAAATATTGTTTGGGTTACACAGTACGGTGTGATCATTTTCACATAATAATAGAACAAGAATTCTATTTGATACTAGAATTCTAAATTCCACCTTTGTCGTCGCAATTTTGCAATTAATTTTTGAGTTTTAAGTAACATGAATCAAGGTGAACCAACCAGAGAAATGCACGGAAAAAACATTCCTATGATCATGCCGTTCAGGAGATTTTCTAGGTTTTTTCTCGGGCCAAATTTTATTTCCGCTTATTTGGAATGGCTACATAGCTTATCATAGTTGCAAAAATTCTTTCCTCTAAGAAAGACTTAACTTTGAGCATATCCAAAACAAAAAAGGGCGCCGTGTCTATTTTTTCGATACAATAGATCTTGAATGCAATTGCCCCGGTCCAAATTATTTTTGTTCTCTCAAGTAACTGTCCAACGAAAGGGTTTCTGTTAAAAAATCGTAATCAACCACAAGGCATTGCGAGCTTAGTCCGCCATTTTCTATGTCATCTAAATTCGAGAAATTTCCAATGTGGTCTATCATCCAAGCGCATCCGAGCGATTTAGGTATATTTTAAGGTCTGAAATTCTGGTAGCAGCCTTCTGAAATTATCAGTGGTATAATCTGGATAGTTGTGTAGCAGTTTCTTGCAATTTTCTTGACAAAATTTTTGTTTGTAACTAGAAAAGTCGAAGGCATCTCGCTTTCCTACACATGGAAGGCCTAAAGCCACGGAGCACACAAAAATTTCAACTTGTAGAATGACAGGAAGGATAGTCCAAGCATCAGAGATCTCACTAATGGCCAATTTGTAAAGATTTTTCTGCACCAAGCTTCGCACAGGATGCATATCACAAGAAGCCAGTGACCAGTTAAAACTTGAAGTATTGACCAGCCTGCATAACACTAAAAGCTGTCGAAGGACTAAATGTAATAACTGTCCTAAATGTAATAAAATCATAAATGTTATAACATTTGGTCCTAAATGTAATAAAGTCCTACATGTAATAACATTTGGTCCTAAATGTAAAAAAGTTCAAAATGTAATGTCATTTAGTCCCATATGTAATAAGCCTCCAATGCAATCGTTTAACTCCGACAGTGCATTTTTGTTATAGCGACACCCACATTGAAATGTTAAAGTGACAGCTGTTGCACCAAAAAATCCCCTGACCAGTATTCATGTCACATTGCGAGCTCGCTGATATCAATCAGCGTCTTCTTATTTGCTAGACTTAAGTCGAGAAGCATTGCTGCAAACCGTTATACTGACGAACAATTGGCATCAAATGACAGCTAGCAAAATAACGAGTACGCTGACCAATACCTCTCCGTATATCACTGACTCAGACCCTAAAGTACAATAGATTTTGAAAAAAATGTGATAACGTAATACTTGAGTGATCAGTGATGGAGTTAACAAGGCATAAACCAAATTACAAACTTGGATAAGGGAGTCCACTGACTTGTAAGTCAGACAATTTGGAGGCTGGGATATACATTTTTTGAACATAGGATATTGCATTTCTAGCCCTCCATGGCTTCACTCCACCTTAGTAATCAGTTCATGTACGATGTAACTATAAGTGGAAACTGTTAAGCTTTCTTTTTTCATTTATTTATTTATTTATCTATTCATTTTCTCCCCTCACGGCGGGGAGAAGAGATGAAGACAAAAAATGAAATAAAAACTTAAGATCTACTGTGGAATATAATGATGTTCTCTCTTGACCAAGCTTATTCGGTCAAGATGGCAGGATATTAACCTCGTTCTTTTTCTGCGTTTTTATGGACCGAGACGAAGGATTCTCTGAGGCAACAGCTGTCACTTAGTCACTTAAACATCTCAACCTGCTACCACAACAATGCACTAACGCAGTTAAATGATTACATTGAAGACATATTACATTTAGGACTTGATTACATTTAGGATCAAATGTCATTACATTTAGGATTTTATTACATCTAGGCCTTCAGCATGAAGCGATTTTAAACTTCCGTTTTCATAGATTAGTTTTGACCAGGATATATTTTGATGACTTTTCTTTGCGATGTGATTTTGAATGAGGTGCCATTTCCCCGTCAGTATGTTTTCAAGGTTAGGTAAAGCCGGATGATATTGCATTACAAAAGGCAACATTTTCTTCTGTGTGCTGTTTTCTTTGTTTTTAAATGACCCTTCTCTACTGGAACACACAACTCCAGACATGTATTTCACCAGAACTTCGTCAGGTATCCTCTATTCCCTTCTTTAGTCGTATTTCAAAGCTCTGTACGTTTTTGTGTGGGATTTCCCACACTTTGTCAAGGCCCGCGAAATTTATTTCTTTATTTCTTTATTTCTTTATTTCTTTATTTCTTTATTTCTTTATTTCTTTATTTCTTTATTTCTTTATTTCTTTATTTCTTTATTTCTTTATTTCTTTATTTCTTTATTTCTTTATTTCTTTATTTATTTGTCCACGAGAGAGAAGTGCTTGTCACGTGGTTTCTATTTGCGTTCAGTGAGCCGTGAAGACTGGATTCCAGTCGGCGTTTTTTCATAGTGTATTGTACGGCGGCCATTTCTCTTCTCAGTCGTTGGGTTTTGGAGAACTTATTCGGAATTTCATGTTTGTTTCTTGGGGATTTTTGTTTCCAAGGTAAGGATAAGTCATTTCATATTTTCACGGGTTCTTTGCGTGCTTTAACTTTTCAATTTTGTTGTGGGAGCTTCACGATTAAGCTCTCACGAAAGGCGATTACGTTTGTACACCTGGTTTGTGTTCTTTCTTTCATAATCTAAGGCGTTTGTTTCGTTATTTCTTCAGATGTCTATAACAGAAGATTTTTTCACGTAAGCCAACACGCTGAAACGCGGCTTGTGTTCAGTGCAGGTTGCACAGGAGCTTTTACGCTTTCACAAGCCAACATTTATCGGCTTGGACCTTCGATGCGGGTTGTGCCAGATTGAAAGGAGTCATTGTACTCTCGCAAGCCATCATTTGTCGGCTTGAATGTATTTGTGCGGCTTGCGCTTCAAAGAGTCTCAGGGTGTCTCAAAGTGTCTCACGAGTGTCTCAAAATGTCTCACGAGTGTCTCAAAGTGTCACAAACTGAAAGAAACTATTTTTTGCCTTGAACTGTCAAGAGTGTTATCTATTTTAATAAACTGAGTTTCTAATTAGTTGGATTGTTGTTGTTGCTCGCTCAAGCACACAAGTAAATATGGGGATCTCCATTGACCAATTCCGTTCAAGGATTGGATCTCATGAAGATTTACATCCTGATTTTAGTGAAAACTATGACCTCTCTGATGATCTCAACATTCCATCAACATCACTGAATAATGAACCACTGATATTGAATGAATTACCTGATTTCGATTTTCGTCAAATGGTCCAGACACCCGATAAAGAGCAAAAATAATTTTTTATCACATTTTACATCAGATTAAAACCTCAGAAACCCCTTTCTACTGCTTCCTCAGTGGAGGGGCTGGTGTTGGCAAATTGCATTTAACAAAAGCTTTGTATCAGGCAGTGCTTAAGTATTATAACACTAGAGCTGGTGATGATTTTCATCAGATCAAAGTTATACTATTAGCTCCAACTGGTAAAGCTTAAGGGTAACACTCTTCATAGCACTCTGGCCATTCCTGCCAATCAATCACTGAGAAATTACAAACAGCTTGATTCAAGTAGACTAAACACTTTGAGAAGTCAATTGATTTTTGTTGATGAAATCTCAATGGTAGGAAATGGTATGTTTACAATACAGCTAAACAATAGGCTTAAAGATATAAAAGGCTGTAGAGAGGATTTTGGAGGTGTGAGCATAATTGCTATTGGTGACTTATTCCAATTAGAATCTGTTATGGATGCTTATATTTTCAAAGACCTCAAAAATGTAGATTTATGCTGTTCTTTCTCCCAATTTATGGCATAAACACTTTAAAATGTTTGAACTTAATGAAATCATGGGTCAAAGAGACAGCAAATTCTTTGTAAAATTACTTAATAGGTTGCGTAAAGGTAAACACACTGTAGCTGACATTGCAAAACTTAAAGAGAGCTATACAAGAAGACATCAACAACCCAATAGATGCACCTCACTTATTTATACAGAATGCTAAAGTAGATGAATTTAAACAAAGGGCCCATAATGCAGCCACAGGAAACAAATTCACAATAAATGCTCAAGATAGTGTTATTGGAGCTATCTCTCC